CCTGAGAAGTTGCATCGAGTGGCTCTGTTTGTGGTGGGTCCGGAGGGATGCTCCGAGGAGCAGGGACGCTCTGGGGAGTGGGGACTGTCCCCTAAGCAGAGCGGGGGGCACTGACTGTCCCTCCTCCCCCCAGGCCCAGCACCACTGGTGCCTTTTCTGTCCCCCATCCCGACCCCCGTGGCCTTCCCCACAGCACAGCAAGATGTCGAGGGCCCTCGGTGCTGAGCAAAACAAAAAGTAACACGGTGTAATAGGGACCAGATGTCTTGGTGAGGCTTCAGCCTGTCCTCCTGGGCGGCTGCCATTTTTTTTTTTTTTTTTTTTTTTTTTTTTTCCCCCCACTGTAAAGCCCCAGCTCCGTTCCCAAAGATCTCCCTCTGCTTTTGTCCCTTCCTTGAAGGGACCTTGCTCTGGACCCACCGCACCGACACGCGGCCGCTTCGGCGGTGGTTTCTCTGCTAATAAAGGGACTTCCCTTTATTTCGTATTTAATCACCGGCTCCGGGGCCGTTCCACCAGAGAGAAACTTGGCCCGTTATGGCTGTGGGTGGAGGACGAACCGCATGAATTCGGCTCAGCCTGTTCTCCAGCCTGGATTGCTTCATTGTGTGCAGCCCATGGGGTTTTTATCCCCGTTGAGACCAGCCACGGGGAGCAGGGGAGCTCTGCTCGGCCTCCGGAGGTGAATAGCACGTGGGGATACGTTTAAGGAACGGGGAATCACGGAAAAATGGGGAGAGATGTGGGAGGAGGGGAGCGACCTCCCTCGCTGGGATCCTCTGGGAGCTCCAGGAGCGGAGCCGTGTCCTCGTCGGGCTCCTGACAGCCCCGTGGCCGGGATGTCAGCGAAGAAGGCAGCTGTGTAAGTGTCTTGGGGGGAGCTGAAGAGCAAAATAATAATAATAATAAGTATAAAAACACCACGCACTGATTTCCAAGCCTGCGCAGAGGTAACCCTGCCGGCCCGTGGGTGGATTTATCTTGCGCAGCTCCTTAATCCAAGTTTAACCCACTCAGCAGTTGTGGGCTCCGGCCGGCTCCTCGCCAGGGAGCGGGTCCCTCCGGACCTGCCCGGCCGGGGGGGACGGTGGCCGAGGCGTCGGGGACGTGGGGCTGGTGGTGACGGCGCCGGGGAGCCCCCGGGGACACCTCGCGTGAGTGGGTCAGGTCGGACCCAACTTCTCCTGTGGCCCTGGAGGAGGTTTAACTCCAGGATTGTGCAGCGTGTGCTGTCACACTGCCCCGGGGCTGCGGGGAGGGGGGTTAACGGGGGGTTTAAGGGGGTCCCATGTGCTTTTCCTCCCTCTGCAGCCTGGTGAGGAGTGTGTCGGCAGCATTTCCCTGCGTGGGATGGAGCAGTTGGGCTGGGAAGGACCTCTGTGGTATCTCCATGGTCCCTTCATGGTACCTCCGTGGTATCTCCATGGTACCTCCGTGGTATCTCCATGGTCCCTCCGTGGTATCTCCATGGTATCTCTGTGATACCTCCGTGGTCCCTCCGTGGTATCTCCATGGTACCTCCATGGAGGTTTGGGGCTCCCACAGATGCCACCGCTCATTTTATTTTAATTTTTCATCATTTTGTCACCCTGCTTGTCTTGATGCCAACGTTTGCAGGCCCCCAGAAGCGCTGGCACCGGCAAAGCTCTGGGTGACCCTTCCTCGGACCCGTCTCCGTTCCTCTACAAACCCCAGAGGAGCTCCTTTTTGCCGGCACGGTGTTAATTTAAAAAAAACCCACCCGAGATCATCTTGGGCTTTGGCGGGGCAAGGCCTCCGAAGGAAAAACAACTTCCTTCTCCTCGCGGGGTCTTTAGGATCTAATGACCACAAGTATTTGAGGCACGCGGGATCCGTAGGGAAGGGAACGGCCGGCACAGAGCCCGACGTTGTGCGCGGCGGCCGGGGTGAAAGATGCCATTCAGCTCGGCTCCGGCATGAACTTTGCTCGGGCTTTTTTTTTTTTCCACCTCGGACTTAGAGCTTAAGTGCTTGGAAAACAAGAGGAGGAAACCGGGTCCCGGGGAAGCGGCGCTGGTGCCCGGACACCCCAACCTCCTCCTGCCCCCCTTGGAATATTTAGAAATATATTCCCTCAGCCCTTTCTCCCGCGTCGGGATCTATAATCCCTTGTGAAAACAAACAAACAGGGCATCGAATTAACGGGGAGATACCTCCTCGCAGGAACCTGCAGCCCCCGCAGATCGAATCCAATGCCTTAGTATCTCCTCTCAGGAACCCACTGCCGCAGCCCCCGCAGATCGAATCCAATGCCTTATTTTATTTTTTAGAGGGCCATTTTTCCTGGCGCCGGCCGCCTTTATTCCCGCTGCTGCTCCGTAGGGATGCGCCGCTGCTCTCGTCGTTGAGGGGAGAAACCAGGAAGTGTGTTCAATCCCTCCCTTATCTTATTTTTAAACCGTAATTAAGCGCTAATCATCGGCGTAATCCAGTGTCTGGACTTTGAAAACGGGGACCTCGTTGGAACAAACTTGGTTCTTGCTCCAGCTCTTTGCTCCCCCAGCCCCGGGGGGGGATTTCACCATCGAAGCACCTTGAGCCTCTGTCACCTTCTTGTCCCATGGGGGAAATGAGCAAAAACCCCCGGACAGGGGATAAAATTCCAGCGGGAAGCAGAGCCACGGGGTCCCCCTCACCTGATCCCACGCCCTGCAGAATTCCTTTGGGCTGGAGAGCATAAAAAAATAAAAACCCAAACCTGCTTATTTTTTTCCCCCCTCCTTCTTTCTCTTCCTCTTTTTGGCTGGCTCAATTTTTATTTTTTTTTTTTATCGTCATGGTAACAAGGGAAATTTTGTGTAATGGCTGGTGGGTGCTCACAGCTCTCTGCCAAGGCACCAAGAAGAGCTTTAAACCCCGAGGTGACCAGCTCGGGGTCCCCTGAGACCCCCAGAGCCCAGGGCACCAAACCCCGGCTCTCGGTGTCCCTTCAGCTGTCCCCCCCCGTGGGGATTCCCGTTTTCCCACCTTGTCCCTGACTCTTTTCTCTTTTTCTCTCGTTTTCCCCCAGCTCTGAAGCGCGCGGACCCGGCGCTGCGATGGGAGACTCAGCCCCGGAGCCGGCGCCCCAGGGCAGCGGCGGGACGTCCCTGGGCGTCATCACGGAAGGCGTCGGGGAACTGGCCGTCATCGACCCCGAGGTGGCCAAGAAAGCCTGCGAGGAGGTCCTGGAGAAGGTCAAGTTGATGCACGGCGTCTCCTCCGACGGCTCGGCCAAAGCGGGCGATGGCGGCGAGGCCGAGCGCGCCCCGCGGGCCCCGGTGGATTTGGCCAACGGAGACATTGGGGAGGGCTACGAAATCAAGTGCTTGGACGACCCACCTGGCACGGCCTCCAAAATCCAGGAGGAGGATGAGACCGTGGCCAACACGGTGAAAACGGCCCGCAAGAGGCAGAAGAACAACTCGGCGAAGCAGTCCTGGCTCCTCCGGCTCTTCGAATCCAAACTCTTTGATATCTCCATGGCCATTTCATACTTGTACAATTCAAAGGAACCCGGGGTGCAGGCTTACATCGGGAATAGGTTGTTCTGCTTTAGGAACGAAGACGTGGACTTCTACCTGCCGCAGCTGCTCAACATGTACATCCACATGGACGAGGACGTGGGGGACGCCATCAAGCCCTACATCGTGCACCGCTGCCGGCAGAGCATCAACTTCTCCCTGCAGTGTGCCCTCCTGCTGGGCGCCTACTCCTCGGACATGCACATCTCCACTCAGCGACACTCCCGCGGGACCAAGCTGCGGAAACTCATCCTCTCGGACGAGTTGAAGCCAGCTTACAAGAAGAGGGAGCTGCCCTCGCTGAGCCCGGCCCCGGACATGGGGCTCTCTCCTTCCAAAAGGACTCACCAGAGGTCCAAGTCGGACGCCACCGTTAGCATCAGCCTGAGCAGCAATCTGAAGCGCACAGCCAGCAATCCCAAAGTCGAGAGCGAGGAAGAGGTAATTTGGGGGGGGGTTCTCCGAGGCTCAGCCCGAGAAGGGGACCCCCCCACCCCTGGGGGCCGTGCTCCCACCACCCGTTCCCATCCCATACCTCACTTCAGAGGGGGGTTTGTTGGTCCCCGTCGTTGCAGGTGATGGAAGTTGTGATTCCTGTGCCTCTGGGCAGACCAGGACACGCCGGTGGGTCACGCTCGGGGGTGCCGGGGCTCCAGAGGGGGCAGTTTTCTCGGTGTGAGGGGAAAGGAGGACACTAGAAGGTTTGGAGGGGAGGCAGGAACGCTGGAGGAGCGAGGTGCCTCCTGCACTGCCCGGTTCCCAGGCGCTTGGGGCAACGGCCGCCCTCTCCCTTTCGCAATCAGCAGCCATCCCGGATTTCTGATCTCCTCCTTGTCCCAACTTGTTGGGGTTTGGCAACGATGGGGTTCCTTCAGAGGCAGAACAGACCCTGGGGAGAGAGGATAAACCCCTCAGCTCTGCCATCCCCCTTCCCTGGCCAAAATGAGCCCTGGGGCCACGAGCCCTTCTGGCTGTAGGGTGGAGAGCGTCACCCGTGGGGCTTGTCCAGCCCCGTGGTGGGTTTCTGCCTGGTTTTCACAGCTCCCAGGTGGTGGAAAGTCAGGCTTTCCCTGCTGGAGGGGCCGGGCTGCGTGGGGAGAGGCTTCCCATTCAGAGGGTTGGGTGCTGATGGGGTTTAATGCCAAAGCAAACGAGGATTCAGTGGGTTGAGCTCAGGCAGAGGCGTGCTGCGCCTCTTCCAAACCCCAAGAGCTCCCCTGGGCTTTGCAGCGTTTATTTTTTAAATGTGGAAAAGTGATGGGCACAAAGTGGCCGTGGTGCTGAGCTCCCTGTCTGCTGGCAGCAGAGCGAGGGCTTCTCCTGGAGAAAATGGGGATTTTTCACTCCCCGCATCCGCCAGCACGGGGGCTTGTGGAGCAAAAAAGGCTGAGCAGCATCCTTGGGGCTGGGGACTGGAGGGGAAAAGAGCTGGAAAGAGGGGGAATTTTGTTTATTTTGCTGCTTTGTTTTGAAGGGCTGGAGGGTTTTTAGCGTGGGGTGGTTGAGGCTCCGTGCGGCTCTTTCCCTGGATCATCCCAGCACCTCCCCTGGACCAGACCCCGGGAGCCGCCGGCTCCGTCTAGACATTGGGGATCTCGTGACTGTTTTCCTGACGGAGGAGTGTTTCTTGGCTTTCCTGCCTTGCCCGAGATTCCCCCTTCCCCTGGGCTCCGTGCCGGGTTATAAATCGTTGGAAGGGGCCACGTGGTGCCTGGCTGTGGGGCTCGGGGACGGCTCCTCTGGAGGAGGAGGGTTTGGAGGAGGTTTTGGGGGCACAAAGTGGTCTCCATCCGGGCTGGTTCCACCTTCAAACCACCCTGTCCCATTCCCTGTGGTTCTCGGGTGAAAACCCAGTTGTTTTTTGTGTTGGCTGATGGGGAAATGAATGTTTCATGTCTCTGCCGTGAAGCAGCCTCCGTCCAGGCTGGTTCCACCTTCAAACCACCCTGTCCCATTCCCTGTGGTTCTCGGGTGAAAACCCAGTTGTTTTTTGTGTTGGCTGATGGGGAAATGAATGTTTCATGTCTCTGCCCGTCGGCCGGGTGGTGGAAAACAACTGGAGAGCAGGAGGCACCGAGGTCACTCCTGCTCCTGCTGGAAGGATGGAAACCGAAGCTTCACATAAATGATGGATGAAGGCAGCACCGCCAAGAGCTTCTCCCAGGGGTGGTTGGGATGGGGTTTGATCCCGGGGCTGGGATGTCACCAGGCGATTGGGATGCTGGAGGCACCCAAAGAGCTCTCCTGGGCTGGGAACATCCCTGGTGTTTGACACGCAGAACGTTACGGCTCCTGTTTGGAAGCGCAGCCCCTGGGGCTGGGAGAAACACCAGCAAATTCCAGGGTTCCCCACTTTAAGATGTTTTAATCTACAAGTTGCTCAGTCCAGGAAACCCGCAGACATGTGAATTGTGTTGTGCTGGGACCGGCCCTTAGTGTGTTCTCCAAACTTCCTTAAAACTGGGGATTTTTAAGGCAGTAAGGTCTCGTGTGTGCTCCCCTGGGAGCTCTCGATTCCCTTTATGCTCTTGTGTCTCTGCTGCCACCACCCTCACTGCGGAGCCGTGGGCTGGGGACCCGCTTCTCCTGCTCCTCCCGGGAAACTGGGGTTTCTCTCTTTGTGGAAAAATTGCAAAACTGGAATGTCAAAGGGAGAAGCCGTTTGTGGGGATGAGGGGAGGCTGCAGCACCTGAGTCTCATCACCTGGGGGTCGGGTCTGGCCTTGGGCTCACCTGGGGGGGACAGCTGGGGGCAATTTCCAATCAGAAGGAGAAAGACCCACCCAGGCAGAGCCCAACTGAGGGCAAAACGTGGCATTTCTTCAGCTGTGCTGGGTTGCTGGTGGGTGTGAAGGTGGGTCGTTGGGTGGTGGGTGCAGGTGGAGTCGGGTCAGTGGAGCTTTGGGGAGAAGGTGGCTGGTCCTGACCCACAAGTGGGGGCTGCTGAAGAGCAGGAGAAACGGAGTGAGCTCTGGAAGAGCTGTAGGGAGAAGCTGAAGCGTTGGGCTGGCGGGTGAGGATCTGGATTAGAAGCTGGAGGGAGAGGGGTGTGGAGAAGGCCAGGTTTGTCCCATCCCTCCCCGAAAGGCTCTTGTGGAGGTGTCCTGTCATCTCTGCCCACACCGGGGGCTCGGCCATAGGGCTTGTGGCCAGGCCTTGTCCTGGGGGGGGGTTTCCATGGCCAGGTTTCATCTTCCCCTTTCCACCAGGTCCCAAAGCCACCTTTTAGCTCTACCGAGGAGGTTGGTGGCACCATGTCCCTTCTCTGCATCGTCCCCGTGTCCGGGTGGGTGGTTTCCCCATCGCTCCTCTCCCCACTGAACGATTTGGGGGTTCGTTTCCCACCTCCCACCCATCTTCTCTCCCCCCAAGGATTTTGGCCTCTGCTGCCTCTCCCGCCTGTTCTGGGGTTTGATTTTTCCTCTGGACCTCTGCCCGTCGCTCCATGTCTCCCTTGGAGCCCGGTGCCAGGTCCTGCCTGTTTCTAGGCTCTTAAAGGTGCCTGTGTCCTCCGGTCCCTGCCGTTCTGGATTAGCTGAGTCAGACCCAAAGCGGGTATTAATGCTGCTTAAGGAGGGGGTAAAAAAAAAACAAAGCCTGTGTTGGTTTTAGAGAGTCGGGGGGGCAGGGGGAAGTCATCCCCGGGGTGAGTCTGTCCTTTCCCCCGCGGTCACTTGGTTTTTGGAGAATAATTCTTCCCCCTGAGGTCTTTATGTCCTGCTTGTCCCTTCGTCCTGTGCGACCACCCTAATGATGGGCAGGGGGGGGTTTTTATTCCTCGCCGCGTTGGGTGTCTGTAACACGATGCCGCCGTCCGGGGCTCATGGGGTGCTTTTATTTTGCATTTATTACTTCTCAGTTAATACAAAGGGAAAGGCACAAGCTCGGAACCTCTCCCTTCTCCTGTCCCTCGGGTTCGGGGTGGTTGGACTTGGCTTTTCTCCCAGCCCTGGTTTTGGGGGGGGCCCAGGTGTGTCCTGTTCCCCCACCTGTTCACAGACAAAGAGGGGGTTAAATGTGTGGGAGCTGCTCGGCGTCGAATTTTCAACGTGAGCCCAGATTTGGGGGACGGGCTGTCACCCCAGGCTGGGGCCGGGGGAGCCCCAGGATGTGGCCATTGGAGATGGTTTGGGATGAAGTGGTTGGGGTGGCTTTGGCTGCGTGGCCCTTGGGGACACCAGGAGACCGTGGCCGGGACCCCCTGGAGCAGCCACGGGAGCAGGTCGCCATCCCAGCGCCCCAAAGAGCTCTCCTGGGCTGGGAACATCCCTGGTGTTTGACACGCAGAACGTTACGGCTCCTGTTTGGAAGCGCAGCCCCTGGGGCTGGGAGAAACACCAGCAAATTCCAGGGTTCCCCACTTTAAGATGTTTTAATCTACAAGTTGCTCAGTCCAGGAAACCCGCAGACATGTGAATTGTGTTGTGCTGGGACCGGCCCTTAGCGTGTTCCCCAAACTTCCTTAAAACTGGGGATTTTTAAGGCAGTAAGATCTCATGTGTGCTCCCTTGGGAGCTCTTGATTCCCTTTATGCTCTTGTGTCTCTGCTGCCACCACCCTCACTGCGGAGCCGTGGGCTGGGGACCCGCTTCTCCTGCTCCTCCCGGGAAACTGGGGTTTCTCTCTTTGTGGAAAAATTGCAAAACTGGAATGTCAAAGGGAAAGGCCGTTTGTGGGGATGAGGGGAGGCTGCAGCACCTGAGTCTCATCACCTGGGGGTCGGGTCTGGCCTTGGGCTCACCTGGGGGGGACAGCTGGGGGCAATTTCCAATCAGAAGGAGAAAGACCCACCCAGGCAGAGCCCAACTGAGGGCAAAACGTGGCATTTCTTCAGCTGTGCTGGGTTGCTGGTGGGTGTGAAGGTGGGTCGTTGGGTGGTGGGTGCAGGTGGAGTCGGGTCAGTGGAGCTTTGGGGAGAAGGTGGCTGGTCCTGACCCACAAGTGGGGGCTGCTGAAGAGCAGGAGAAACGGAGTGAGCTCTGGAGGAGCCATAGGGAGAAGCTGAAGCGTTGGGCTGGCGGGTGAGGATCTGGATTAGAAGATGGATGGAGAGGGGTGCAGAGAAGGCCAGGTTTGTCCCATCCCTCCCCGAAAGGCTCTTGTGGAGGTGTCCTGTCATCTCTGCCCACGCCGGGGGCTTGGCCATAGGGCTTGTGGCCAGGCCTTGTCCTGGGGGGGGGGTTTCCATGGCCAGGTTTCATCTTCCCCTTTCCACCAGGTCCCAAAGCCACCTTTTAGCTCTACCGAGGAGGTTGGTGGCACCATGTCCCTTCTCTGCATCGTCCCCGTGTCCGGGTGGGTGGTTTCCCCATCGCTCCTCTCCCCACTGAACGATTTGGGGGTTCGTTTCCCACCTCCCACCCATCTTCTCTCCCCCCAAGGATTTTGGCCTCTGCTGCCTCTCCCGCCTGTTCTGGGGTTTGATTTTTCCTCTGGACCTCTGCCCGTCGCTCCATGTCTCCCTTGGAGCCCGGTGCCAGGTCCTGCCTGTTTCTAGGCTCTTAAAGGTGCCTGTGTCCTCCGGTCCCTGCCGTTCTGGATTAGCTGAGTCAGACCCAAAGCGGGTATTAATGCTGCTTAAGGAGGGGGTAAAAAAAAAACAAAGCCTGTGTTGGTTTTAGAGAGTCGGGGGGGCAGGGGGAAGTCATCCCCGGGGTGAGTCTGTCCTTTCCCCCGCGGTCACTTGGTTTTTGGAGAATAATTCTTCCCCCTGAGGTCTTTATGTCCTGCTTGTCCCTTCGTCCTGTGCGACCACCCAATAACGGGCAGGAGGGGGGGTTATTTTGGGGGTTTTTATTCCTCGCCGCGTTGGGTGTCTGTAACACGATGCCGCCGTCCGGGGCTCATGGGGTGCTTTTATTTTGCATTTATTACTTCTCAGTTAATAGAAAGGGAAAGGCACAAGCTCAGAACCTCTCCCTTCTCCTGTCCCTCGGGTTCGGGGTGGTTGGACTTGGCTTTTCTCCCAGCCCTGGTTTTGGGGGGGGCCCAGGTGTGTCCTGTTCCCCCACCTGTTCACAGACAAAGAGGGGGTTAAATGTGTGGGAGCTGCTCGGCGTCGAATTTTCAACGTGAGCCCAGATTTGGGGGACGGGCTGTCACCCCAGGCTGGGGCCGGGGGAGCCCCAGGATGTGGCCATTGGAGATGGTTTGGGATGAAGTGGTTGGGGTGGCTTTGGCTGCGTGGCCCTTGGGGACACCAGGAGACCGTGGCCGGGACCCCCTGGAGCAGCCACGGGAGCAGGTCGCCATCCCAGCGCTGCAAAATGGGGCTGTTTTACCTCTTTTTGGCCCATCAGTGTTAATCTCCAGTGGTTGTACTGGGCCAGGGGCTGGTGGAACCTTGGTGGGGTGGTCGTTGGCCGTGGGGGGGACATCCCCCAGCTCCCCAGGGTTTTGGTGGGGTTGCAGGCACCAACCTGGAAGCAAAACCTCCCCCAGGACAGAGCTCAAAAAACCTAAAAATTTCAGTAAAAGCTTTAGTGGCCAGGCCAAGGTACCGGGAACGTGGGAGCTGATCCGGAGGTACCCTTTGGGGTGAGGAGGGGCTGAATTTGGGTGCAGAAAGTCATCTCACTGTGTGAGCCCCCTCCTTCTACCCGGCTCCACAAACCTCCAGCCTTGTTGGCTTTGGAGGGGGGGGGTTTAGTTGCACCTCCCCCACAAACCAGCAGTGAGTCCTGGCCAGCGCCCGGGGATTTGTTGCCCAAACAGGTTGGGCTGCCTTTGCCACCTGGAAATGCCTTTGCCTCCGGTTGGATTCCCCGTTCCCATCTCCCCCCACCTCTCTAGGGACAGACGAGGACCCCCAGGGTCTGTGTGTGTCCCCCGTCCCCCCCCCAAGCCAAGCCAGGGTTTGACTGAACTTCCATTTTTAGGGGTGACCCAGAGGAACTTTACCTTCCTCCCAGGGCTCTTTGTTGCTTTTGGAAAAGACATTTTGGAGGTGAAACCCCCCCGGCTCTGGGTTAAAGCTGGGGCTGGTTGTGAGCCCTTTCTGTCCCCAGTGTTCCCGTGGGACTGGGGTTCACACCCGTCCC